AGAAGTGTATGAGGAAGAAGAGGGGGATGATGAAAAACCCATTTCTATTCTCAAATCCTCATCCTACAATTAAAAAAGAAAAACAGTAGAAATATATATCCCATCAAAAACCTTCATCTCTATAGAACTGAAAGCACTTAATCGAGAGTTAAATAAGTTACCTTATTATGGAAAGGAGGGTGATTAAGTGAAGGGAGATAGCTAGCCATCTGATTGTGTAATCTGATCTTCTCTAATTGAGCAACACCGAGACCTCTTTGCGGCTGCTTTGGCTTCTCACTAGTATTCTTCTTCCCTTTTCTTGATGACCCGGATCTTCCATTATTTCCCAAAGCAAGCTCTCCAAAATGGCTACTCCCCATTAAGATCTCCTCTCAAATTACCAACCTTAATTAAAACCTAACTAGGACACACTAAGAATACGAGGCAGAAAGAGAAAAGAGAGAGGGATAGATGGAAGAATCTACGCTTTTCTCTTCCAATGAAAAGGACAGATCTCCAAGGACCCATATAAAAAGAACTGCCACCCAAAAGTAATTATTGCACTGCTGTATTAGATTAAGTAAAAGATTTTACACTCATATCTTTGCTTAATTTCCTTCCCTCTTATTATTACCATTACCAGGGTGCAGTTAGAGGCCTGTTAAAAATTTTAATTAAATTAATCATATGATTTATCTTTAACAGCAAGTACTCTAAAGAGCAAGCACCATGTGATGAAATGGCCATATATATGAGTCATACCACTTAACAAATATTAAAATAAGAAGGTGTCGAGATTGATTTGTGCAGGATAATATAGAGGATCTTTGCCATAAAATAACGGTCAAAGTAACTTGGTAACTAATATAATGTAGCTTGATTTACGGTCTTTGAATTGTTGGTAACAAAATCTACGGAAGATACATAGTATATATTTTTTCCTTTTGCTGTAGGAATCAGAATCATACAGATCTAAAAGATAGCTAGATTGACCATATCAGTTCTTGATTATATGGATGATTATTAAGAAGTTTCCTCAGCGGCACCCTAAAGTTTGCCATGTGCTAAAGATTTGGGTACTTGATTCTGTCGATATTATATATTGCAATGTTGTGATTTGTTTATGTACATCAGTTTTTATAGCACTTTAAGCCAGATGTACGTACTACATACATACATATACGTTAATTATATGGAATCGTGTATCGATGGCCAATTTATCAGAATCGGAATGTTACGAATCTAGCTACCAGCTGCTAGTTTCTCTATCCTATAGTATTTTGGATCTTGATCATTAACAATCAATTCACAACTGAGAAGAGATGAAATGGGATATGAAGTCTAAAAAAACATGGGAAAAAAGGGTCACTACACCCACATATAAATTCCACATACTTAAAACTATTATAATAAAGTTATGAAACTAATTTCAAGGTTTATAAAAAAATAGGGTTAATTATAGAGAACTCCCATGAACTTTTGGGAGTTGCAGTAAACCCCCTCAACTTTTTTTTATTACACT